TTCTCCGTGTACTGGTTGTATAACAGCGCCTCGGGGGACATCCATCTGATGGGCAGCAGACCCTAGGAACCAACAGGTTAAAGGTTGGAGTTCAGTTGAATATCTCTAAATATTAATGGCATGAACGTAACAACCGGCGCTCACTTGTAATCATCTCCAACGTCGCATCTGGTGACTGTCTGTGCCTTGGATTTAGTAGTGGTTAAAATAATCAATACAGTGTTGATTCTACTGCTGTCCGTGTCGGTTCCGAGCACCTTTCTGGAGGTAACAAGAATAAATCTACTGCTTTCCTCTCCCGTCCCTCACATAAAAATGTGGTAGAGGGCGAGTCATTAGTGTGTGCTGAAAGGGATGTGTTGTTGAGCTGAGTCAAGAATTGACAAAACATCACTCGGGGCTTCCCCCTTGTGTGCTTCAACAGCCAGCACAGAGTTCCAATACTGATGGTATCAGATCCTGGATACAAAACTGTAAGGCCATTTTAGATATTGTTGACACTATTCGCGAGCCATACAATATTGTTTTCAATTTTAAAATCCTAATAATTTCCTCACACTTAATACTTAATAATAGCAGTGTTATGTTATATTATGTTATGTTATCTCAGTCGACGTCACTGCACATTGGGCTTTCCCATACGTGTTCAGTCCTCCAATGTATGTCACCCAAGGTACTTCTAACGATTGCTCCCACGAGAAGTTGGTTATAATGCCTGCTATTTTGACCTGGAAGACGTCACCGATGGAGGCGGGTGGTGTTTATAATGTTGATGCTGTTGCTACAGGCAAATGATTTTTTTTCTCCAGATCTTGCCCACTTGATTTTGAGGTAACATTTTAAAGTGAAATGACTTCAGAATTACTAAACGTGTTCGCAATGCGCATGCAAAAAAAGCTTGGCACTGTATATTGATGACAGTATATTGATGGCAGTATATTGATGACAGTGTATTGATGACAGTATATTGATGACAGTATATTGATGACAGTATATTGATGACAGTATATTGATGACAGTGTATTGATGATAGTATATTGATGACAGTGTATTGATGATAGTATATTGATGACAGTGTATTGATGATAGTATATTGATGACATATTACTGATGACAGTTTATTGATGATAGTATATTGATGACATATTACTGATGACAGTGTATTGATGACAGTATATTGATGACAGTGTATTGATGACAGTATATTGATGACAGTGTATTGATGACAGTATATTGATGACAGTATATTGATGACAGTATATTGATGACAGTGTATTGATGATAGTATATTGATGACAGTGTATTGATGATAGTATATTGATGACAGTGTATTGATGATAGTATATTGATGACATATTACTGATGACAGTTTATTGATGATAGTATATTGATGACATATTACTGATGACAGTATATTGATGACAGCGTATTGATGATAGTGTATTGATGACATATTACTGATGACAGTGTATTAATGATAGTATATTGATGACATATTACTGATGACAGTATATTGAAGATAGTGTATTGATGACATATTATTGATAACAGTATATTGATGACAGTATAATGATGACAGGATATTGATGACAGTATACTGATGACAGTATACTGATGATAGTGTATTGATGACATATTACTGATGACAGTATATTGATGACAGTATACTGATGACAGTATATTTATGACAGTATACTGATGACAGTGTATTGATGATAGTGTATTGATGACATATTACTGGTGACAGTATATTGATAACAGTATACTGATGACAGTATACTGATGACAGTATTTTGATAACAGTATACTGATGACAGTATATTGATGATAGTGTATTGATGACATATTACTGATAACAGTATATTGATGACAGTATATTGATGATAGTATATTGATGACAGCGTATTGATGATAGTATATTGATGACATATTACTGATGAAAGTATATTGATGATAGTATATTGATGACATATTACTGATGATAGTATATTGATGACATATTACTGATGAAAGTATATTGATGATAGTATATTGATGACATATTACTGATGATAGTATATTGATGACAGTGTATTGATGATAGTGTATTGATGACATATTACTGATGACAGTGTATTGATGATAGTATATTGATGACATATTACTGATGACAGTATATTGATGATAGTGTATTGATGACTTATTGCTGATGACAGTATATTGATGACAGTATACTGATGACAGTATATTGATGACAGTATACTGATGACAGTATACTGATGATAGTGTATTGATGACATATTACTGATGACAGTATATTGATGACAATATACTGATGACAGTATATTGATGACAGTATACTGATGACAGTGTATTGATGATAGTGTATTGATGACATATTACTTATGACAGTATATTGATAACAGTATACTGATGACAGTATTTTGATAACAGTATACTGATGACAGTATACTGATGACAGTATATTGATGATAGTGTATTGATGACATATTACTGATGACAGTATATTGATGAAATATTACTGATAACAGTTTATTGATGACATATTACTGGTGACAGTATATTGATAACAGTATACTGATGACAGTATTTGATGATGGTAAACTGATGACAGTATACTGATGACAGTGTATTGATGATAGTGTATTGATGACATATTACTGATGACAGTATATTGATAACAGTATACTGATGACAGTATACTGATGACAGTATTTTGATAACAGTATACTGATGACAGTATACTGATGACAGTATATTGATGATAGTGTATTGATGACATATTACTGATGACAGTATATTGATGACATATTACTGATAACAGTATATTGATGACATATTACTGGTGACAGTATATTGATAACAGCATACTGATGACAGTATTTTGATGACAGTATACTGATGACAGTATACTGATGACTGTGTATTGATGATAGTGTATTGATGACATATTACTGATGACAGTATATTGATAACAGTATACTGATGACAGTATACTGATGACAGTATTTTGATAACAGTATACTGATGACAGTATACTGATGACAGTATATTGATGACAGTGTATTGGTGACATATTACTGATGACAGTATATTGATGACATATTACTGATAACAGTATATTGATGACATATTACTGGTGACAGTATATTGATAACAGTATACTGATGACAGTATACTGATGACAGTAAATTGATGACATTATATTGATGACATTATACTGATGACAGTATATTGATGACATTATGTTTATGATATTATATTGGATAGTAAAATGAGACGGCTTTGGGGTAAGCTAGTAGTGAATTAAATAGACTGATTTGAGTGTAAGATAATGATTGTAAGGGTAATAACAATGATGATGGTAATGATACTGGATGAGAATGGTGATGATGGTAATGATAATGAATGAGACTAGTGATGATGGTAATGATAATGGATAAGATTAGTGAGGATGGTAATGATAGTGGATGGAACTAATGATAATGGTAATGATAATGGATGAGACTAGTGATGATGGTGATGATAATGGATGGTACTAATGATGATGGTAATGATAATGGATTAGACTAATGATGATGGTAATGACAATAGATAAGACTAGTGAGGATGGTAATGAAAATTAATAGATGGTACTAATGATGATTGTAATGATAATGGAGGGTACTACTGATGATGGTAATGACAATGAATGAGACTAATGAGGATGGTAATGATAATGGATAATACTTATGGCAATGATAATGGATGAGACTAATGGGGATGGTAATGATAATGGATAATACTAATGGTAATGATAATGGATGAGACTAATGAGGATGGTAATGATATGGATAAGACTAATGATGATGGTAATGATAATGGATGAGACTAATGAGAATTGTAATGATAATGGATGGTACTAATGGTAATGATAATGGATGAGCCTAGTGATGATGGTAACTATAATGGATGAGCCTAGTGATGATGGTAATGATAATGGATGAGACTAATGAGGATGGTAATGATAATGTATGGTACTAATGATGATGGTAATGATAATGGATCAGACTAATGAGGATGGTAACGATAATGGATGAGACTAATGAGGATGGTAATGGTAATGGATAAAACTAATGATGATGGTAATGATAATAGATGAGACTTATGCGGATGGTAATGATAATGGATGGTACTAAATATGATCATAATGATAATGGATGAGACTAATGAGGATGGTAACGATAATGGATAAGACTAATGATGATAGATGAAACTAATGATGATGGTAATGATAATGGATGAGACTAATGAGGATGGTAATGATAATGGATGAGACTAATGAGGATGGTAATGTTAATGGATAAAACTAATGATGAATTTAATGATAATGGATGAGACTAATGATGGTGGTAGTGATAATGAATGAGACTAATGATGATGGTAATGATAATAGATGAGACTAATGAGGATGATAATGATAATGGATGGTACTAATGATGATGGTAATGATAATGGATGAGACTATGGTGATTGAAATGATAATGGATGGTACTAATGATGATGGTAAAAATAATAGATGGGACTTATGATGATGGTATTGATAATGGATTGTACTAGTGATGATGGTAATGATACTGGATGAGACTAGTGATGTTGGTAATGATAATCGATGAAACTATAATTATAATGGATGAGACTAATGATGATGGTAATGATAAGTGATGAGACTAATGAGGATATAATGATAATGGATGAGACTAATGATGATGGTAATGACACTGGATGAGACTATTGATGATGGTAATGATAATGGATGAGACTAATGTGAATGGTAATGATAATGGATGGTACTAATGATGATGGTAATGATAATGGATGGTACTAATGATGCTAGTAATGATAATGGATGAGACTAATGAGGATGTAATAATAATGGATGGTACTAATGATGATCGTAATGATAATCGATGGCACTAATGATGATGGTAATGATAATGATTGGTAATGATGATGCTGACCTTTGTCGTCCTTTCGTAGACATCCTGTTCTCCCACTTTCCTGGCCAAACCAAAATCTGAAATCTTGACAACTTTGTGCTCGCACACCAGAACGTTCCTGGCAGCCACGTCACGATGGACAATCTGGCAACAATAAACAAGACTGGATTGTAGGTGTAGCAGTAGTGGCGGCGTCCCAAGCAGAAGTAGTAGTAGCAGCAGTAGTAGCTACTAACAACAGCAGCATTGGTGATGGTGGTGGTGGTGGTGGCAACAGTAGTAGCAGCAGCAGTAGTAGCTCGTAGCAGCATCGGTGGTAATGGTGGTGCTAGTGGTAGCAGCAGTAATAGTCATAATAATAGTTGTATTATTGTGATTATTATTTTAGAAGTAGTAGCAGTGGTAATAGTAGTAGAAGTAGTAGTAGTAATAGTAGTAGTAGTAGTAGAAGTAGTAGTAGTAGTAGTATTAGCTGCTTTTGTTATGTCTAAAAAGGACTATGTTTCGGCCTACTGTATGCTGCTGGTATCAAACAGAGACAGAAGGTCGTGGATATGACATGACCATCGACGCCACACAGCATGGACTATGAGAAGAAGAAGAATCAGCATAGATCCTCAAACAAATAAGCGTTAAAAAAAATACCGCCGATAACTGACAAGAGCTACAGAAGAGATGTAGTTTACAATATAGACATTACAAGACGACTAGGACAGACACCAGTCATACAGTTTCTGAATAAACTGTGCAATGTATTGTTTGTGACTTCTTTGTTTAAGTTTCTTAATAAACTGTGCAATCTATTGTTTGTGTCTTTATTGTTCAAGTTTCCTAATAAACTGTGCAATCTATTGTTTGTGTCCTCAAGTTTCTTAAGCGAATGAGATAGTCTGATCCTCTGATGGGAATGCCCTGGTATCAACTGCCAGAGGGAGTCACACTGAAGAAGTAAAACTGACACAGAGCAACGGCAAGAACACACAGAGGATGGAACGAAATCATCAAGAACAACTTTCACGAAATGAAGATCAGCTCTTGCAACACATTGGATAGAGGACACAGAATATCCTTACACCCCTCTCCCTCTTTTTTTTTTTTAAACCCTTCTCTAGACTGTGATGAAGTAAATGAGAGAAAAGGGAGGAGGAAAACAGGGAGAAGTTATTGTTGTTGTTGTATTTACATATACTTTTTGCATCTAGTACAATACTTCCAAAATGTGGCAAAATGTCTGTTTCTGTTATTTTGATAACAAATGAGGTGATGGCATAGATGAAAGACAAGTGAACTGAAAGACAGAACAAGGCAAATATGGTGTAGAAAATGTTCACTGGCTGACCTTGTTCTGGGTCAGATGGTCGAGTCCTCTGCAGATCTGTAAGGCGAAGGACAGTACATCACGTGATGTTATCAGTTCACTCTCACTGGTTGGGACATTGTTGTATTTTTTAGGGTCAGTGGTTCTGTAGAATATATTACAGTTTCTGTCAGACAGATGACAGTTTCTGTCCTATAGATGACAGTTTCTGTCCTATAGATGACAGTTTCTGTCCTATAGATGACAGTTTCTGTCAAACAGATAATTATTTACGTTAAATAGAAATTAATGAGCATACTGGTATCATGGCATGTAATCACGTGCGTCACTACAATTATCTGCAGTGCACGAGACGGCAGTCTTTGAACAAACTTGGCGACCATCACTACAAAACATTGACAACAGAAAGATGTTAATTAGCTCTTAATTAGTAACTTTGTCATCTCAGCGCAGTGCACGAACTCCGTAGCACTGGCGATAATCCTGAAATACACATTGTTACTCATTTCGATTTCCAACTGCCACGGGAATTTTTACGTGCCCAACAATACACGCGGGGTATGATCTTACTACTCAGAGACCACAATAGCTACCATAGTAGCCTTGACAGTAGTTATCACAGTAGCCTCTACAGTAGCTACCAGGGTATCCTCCACAGTACCTATCATAGTAGCCTCCACAGTAGCTATCATAGCAGCCTCCACAGTAGGTATCATAGTAGCCTCTACAGTAGCTACCACAGTAGCCTCCACAGTAGCTATCATAGTAGCCTCCACAGTAGCTATCATAGTAGCCTCCACAGTAGCTACCATAGTCGTCTCCACAGTAGCTATCATAGTAGCCTCCACAGTAGCTACCATAGTCGTCTCCACAGTAGCTATCATAGTAGCCTCCACAGTAGCTACCATAGTCGTCTCCACAGTAGCTATCATAGTAGCCTCCACAGTAGCTACCATAGTCGTCTCCACAGTAGGTATCATAGTAGCCTCTACAGTAGCTACCACAGTAGCCTCCACAGTAGCTATCATAGTAGCCTCCACAGTAGCTATCACAGTAGCCTCCACAGTAGCTACCATAGTCGTCTCCACAGTAGCTATCATAGTAGGCTCCACAGTAGCTACCATAGTCGTCTCCACAGTAGCTATCACAGTAGCCTCCACAGTAGCTACCATAGTAGCCTCCACAGTAGCTATCATAGTAGCCTCCACAGTAGGTATCATAGTAGCCTCCACAGTAGCTATTATAGTAGCCTCCACAGTAGCTATCACAGTAGCCTCCACAGTAGCTACCATAGTCGTCTCCACAGTAGCTATCATAGTAGCCTCCACAGTAGCTACCATAGTCGTCTCCACAGTAGCTATCATAGTAGCCTCCACAGTAGCTACCATAGTCGTCTCCACAGTAGGTATCATAGTAGCCTCTACAGTAGCTACCACAGTAGCCTCCACAGTAGCTATCATAGTAGCCTCCACAGTAGCTATCACAGTAGCCTCCACAGTAGCTACCATAGTCGTCTCCACAGTAGCTATCATAGTAGCCTCCACAGTAGCTACCATAGTCGTCTCCACAGTAGCTACCATAGTCGTCTCCACAGTAGCTATCATAGTAGCCTCCACAGTAGCTATCATAGTAGCCTCCACAGTAGCTATCATAGTAGCCTCCACAGTAGCTATCATAGTAGCCTCCACAGTAGCTATCACAGTAGCCTCCACAGTAGCTACCATAGTCGTCTCCACAGTAGCTATCATAGTAGCCTCTACAGTCAGACAACACGTAGTGGAGGCCAAAGCACCAGAATCGTCAGTCACAGTTCTCCCTCCAGTCCAAACAGTACAAACCTATCAACCAATCACGTATCTAAGGACAGACCCATCTGTGTAACTGACTGCACAATAGTCATTGCGATTCTCAAAAATCATAACCTGAACTTTTGTCTTCATAACATCAAGGTATTATGACTACAAACAGAAAATTACTCGCATACACAGGCAAGCAGACACAGATGGGCACATAAGGCATTTCTCTGTTTTGTGTGTGTTTTTTGCCTCCAGCCCAATGACCTTTTTTTAAAAAAAAAAAAATCCTATTACAGCCTGTATATCCCCCTCCTACGGTGTAAGCAACAGGATCTTTGAGGCTGAGGATTTGGGGTTGCATGGCTAGTGCTGTCGCCACGGACTGTGCAAGTTAGGAATTTATATTTGCCCTCGACAGAAACAAATCAACAGTTTTACCGAGAATTCCAATCTGGCTCTCCCACGTGACAGCCCTGCGTTCTCAAACCGCAGATCACATATCCTAAAACAGTACATAAAGCAGGTGCGAGTAAACACACACAGACACACAAGTAGACACACTATGGCAGCCACTAACATTTTCTCATATTTATTCTTGTTGTCCCCGGGCTGCTGACCACAGGTGGTCGAGTAGTAGTTGCTGGTGCGTCTGCTGTCCACTCCGTATGCCAGGTAGGCAGCGTTGGCGTAGTTGCGCTCTGTCCGGTGATTCAGCAGGTATTTCCTCAGGTCGCCATGTTTGGCGTACTCCAGGATCATCAGGTAGGGGTCTGCGTGACACAACATGATGTCATATATTGGAACGCGACATCATTTATTGGAACGTGACATCGTATATTGGAGAGTGACATCATATATTAGAACGTGACATCAATATTGGAACATGACATTAACAACAATCGAATATGACATCACATAGAACATGACATGAAATATTAGAACATGGCCTTATATTTCAGAATACGACATCAGAAATTAGAACATAACATTATATATGAGGACATGCTAGAACATTTTATCACACATAAGAATATGGTACTTTATATAAAAACATGATATCAAATATAAGACAAGAAGATTAAATATCAAAGTATGAAGAATATTAGACTCTAGAATAAATAATATGTGTTCTTGGGAATTAAATAAAATCTTCTTTGCACTCCACGATAGGGAAATGGCAGGAAGTACTCTGTGGGTGTACACATCTCATAGAGTTTGTGTGTACAGAAATTAGGGTTTTCTGTGTTTCTTCAGCGCAGTAGTTATATATGTTTTCAGTAATACAAAATGGCACATACCGTGAGCTGTACAGCTTGCAAACAGCGTGATGATGTTTGGGTGTACCGGTATGGACTTCATCAGGGTCACTTCACTGAGGAAATCTTTCTTCAGTTGTTCGTTTGTCTTTTCTGAAACTGTAGCAAGAGTCGTCAATCATTGTACACACACACACACACACTCACATACACACACACTCACACACACACAAACACACATATACAATATACACCAACCAGCAGTGCTGACACAAGAAAACTATTGTGAGTGGGTGGAACTAAACTCCTATCCCAAACCCTGTCCTTTATAAACGTGCTAGCGAAGGAGGCTAGAGAGAATTATTCCTAGATTAAGAGCACAGTAGTAATAGTGATAATTATTATATTTATAATAATAATAATAATAATAATAATAATAATAATAATAATAATAATAATAATAATAATAATAATAATAATAATAATAATAATAATAATAATAGAGTGTTAAATTGCTGAAACATAATCATACATTTTAAATATTATGAATGAATACACAAAGGGGGGTAGGCGCTGAGTACCCTCTAACAATTTCTGAGTCGGGTGGAGATGGGGACTCGGGGGCCTAGAAGCTCCAGATTGTGGTCCCTAATACACTCACACATGTTGTTGTAGATGTTCGTCCATAACGAGGGATAAAGACCACTTTTCATCCAAAGCAGCAAAGATCAATGATTATGAGTACCAAGGTGGTTGATTAGTCCAGTATGAGCCTGGAAAGTTCTTGAGCAGTGTGGACACCAGATGAAAGCCGCAGTAAGTGTGGGATTAGCAGTACGATACTTTCTAGTTTGCCTCAGCTTCTCTGCCACTGCTGCCTCAGCTGCCTGGCAGGCTGATGCACCATGTCTGAGGGACGTACTCCATCCAGAACGGTCTTGTGCAGCAGCCTCCCAGGTCGCTGTGTTGATGCCAAAAGAATTGAGAGCAGACCAGAGTTTCCTTATATCGCTTTTTCTGTCCTCGCTGGGACCTCTTCTCTTGCTGGAGCTCGCCATAAAATACTATCTTTGGGAGGCGATATTCTGGCATGCGGGTTAGGTGACCAGCCCAACGTAGCTGACAATTCTTCAGTTTCGTGTGGATGCTGGGCCGGTTTGAACCTCAGTATTTGGGATTTTATCTTGCATTTGACTTTGAGCAGCTTTCTGAGACAGGTTGTATGAAACATTTTACATAGCATTGATACACCGTCCACCTTTTGCAAGCCTAGAGCAGTACTGAAAAAATTACAGCTTTGTAAACCTTTAGGTTGGTCAGCAAGGAGATACCACTTCTGTTCCAGACACTGGTATACAGTCTGCCGAAACTGCTGCTGGCCTTTGAGATTCTAACATTGATCTCGTCGTCGATGTTGACTCTCTGAGATAGGCTACTGCCAAGATCAGCGAATCTGTCGACTACATTTAGCTTTCCATCATTCACGGCGAAAGTGGGATCACAGTGATTTTTATCTGGGAGCCGGTTGGTAAATAACAACAGTTTTATCAGTGTTGATAGTTAGCCTGAAGTTGGTACAGGCTTCAGAAAATCAATTAATGATGTGCTGCATACTGGCCTCAGAGCTGGAGTTTAGAGCCCAGTCGTCAGTAAATACAAGGTCCCTAATTGTAGTTGTTTTAGTTTTGGTTTTGGTTCGAAGTCTCCTCATCATATTGAACTAGCTGCCATCGGTACGGTAATTTAAAGCAATTCCTAGATCGTCATCATCGAAGGCATTGACAAGAGTTGCAGCAAATGTCAGACTGAACAAGGTTGGTGCAGGCACACATCCTTGCTTTACCCCATTTTAGACAGGGAAACGGTTCCCACAGTTCCCCCTTCTCCAGCACTCTGGTCTGCGTATCATCAAGCAACTGTGGTACAATCCTGACAAACTTCTGAGGACAGCCACATTTAGCCATGATTTTCCCTAGTCCTCCTCTACTGACTGTACCACAGGTCTTTGTGAGCTCCTCTACTGACTGTACCAAAGGTCTTTGTGAGCTCCTCTACTGACTGTACCAAAGGTCTTTCTGAGCTCCTCTACTGACTGTATCAAAGATCTTTGTGAGCTCCTCTACTGACCGTACCAAAGGTCTTTGTGAGCTCCTCTACTGACTGTATCAACGGTCTTTGTGAGCTCCTCTTCTGACTGTATCAAAGGTCTCTGTGAGCTCCTCTACTGGCTGTATCAAAGGTCTTTGTGAGCTCCTCTACTGGCTGTATCAAAGGTCTTTGTGAGCTCCTCTACTGACTGTATCAAAGGTTTCTGTGAGCTCCTCTACTGACTGTATCAAGGGACTCTGTGAGCTCCTCTACTGACTGTATCAAAGGTCTTTGTGAGCTTCTCTACTGACTGTATCAAAGGTCTTTGTGAGCTCCTCTACTGACTGTATCAAAGGTCTTTGTGAGCTCCTCTACTGACTGTATCAAAGGTCTTTGTGAGCTCCTCTACTGACTGTATCAAAGGTCTTTGTGAGCTCCTCTACTGACTGTATCAAAGGTCTTTGTGAGCTCCTCTACTGGCTGTATCAAAGATCTTTGTGAGCTCCTCTACTGACTGTATCAAAGATCTTTGTGAGCTCCTCTACTGACTGTATCAAAGATCTTTGTGAGCTCCTCTACTGACTGTATCAAAGGTCTTTGTGAGCTCCTCTACTGACTGTATCAAAGGTCTTTGTGAGCTCCTCTACTGACTGTACCAAAGGTCTTTGTGAGTTCCTCTACTGGCTGTATCAAAGGTCTTTGTGAGTTCCTCTACTGACTGTATCAAAGGTCTTTGTGAGCTTCTCTACTGACTGTATCAAAGGTCCTTGTGAGTTCCTCTACTGACTGTACCAAAGGTCTTTGTGAGCTCCTCTACTGACTGTATCAAAGGTCTTTGTGAGCTTCTCTATTGGCTGTATCAAAGGTCTTTGTGAGCTCCTCTACTGACTGTACCAAAGGTCTTTGTGAGCTTCTCTACTGACTGTATCAAAGGTCCTTGTGAGCTTCTCTACTGGCTGTATCAAAGGTCATTGTGAGCTCCTCTACTGACTGTACCAAAGGTCTTTGTGAGCTTCTCTATTGACTGTATCAAAGGTCTTTGTGAGCTCCTCTACTGACTGTATCAAAGGTCTTTGTGAGCTCCTCTATTGGCTGTATCAAAGGTCTTTGTGAGCTCCTCTACTGGCTGTATCAAAGGTCTTTGTGAGCTCCTATACTGGCTGTATCAACGGTCTTTGTGAGCTCCTCTACTGGCTGTATCAAAGGTCTTTGTATGCTCCTCTACTGACTGTATCAAAGGTCTTTGTGAGCTCCTCTACTGACTGTATCAAAGGTCTTTGTGAGCTCCTCTATTGGCTGTATCAAAGGTCTCTGTGAGCTCCTATACTGGCTGTATCAACGGTCTTTGTGAGCTCCTCTACTGGCTGTATCAAAGGTCTTTGTGAGCTTCTCTACTGGCTGTATCAAAGGTCTTTGTGAGCTCCTATACTGGCTGTATCAAAGGTCTTTGTGAGCTCCTCTACTGGCTGTATCAAAGGTCTTTGTGAGCTCCTCTACTGGCTGTATCAAAGGTCTTTGTGAGCTCCTCTACTGGCTGTATCAACGGTCTTTGTGAGCTCCTCTACTGGCTGTATCAAAGGTCTTTGTGAGCTCCTCTACTGACTGTATCAAAGGTCTTTGTGAGCTCCTCTACTGGCTGTATCAAAGGTCCTTGTGAGCTCCTCTACTGACTGTATCAAAGGTCTTTGTGAGCTCCTCTACTGACTGTATCAAAGGTCTTTGTGAGCTCCTCTACTGACTGTATCAAAGGTCTTTGTGAGCTCCTCTACTGGCTGTATCAAAGGTCTTTGTGAGCTCCTTTACTGACTGTATCAAAGGTCTTTGTGAGCTCATCTACTGACTGTATCAAAGGTCTTTGTGAGCTCCTCTACTGGCTGTATCAAAGGTCTTTGTGAGCTCTTTTACTGACTGTATCAAAGGCCCTTGTGAGCTCCTCTACTGGCTGTATCAAAGGTCTTTGTGAGCTCCTTTACTGACTGTATCAAAGGTCTTTGTGAGCTCCTCTACTGGCTGTATCGAAAGTCTTTGTGAGCTCCTCTACTGGCTGTATCAAAGGTCTTTATGAGCTCCTCTACTGGCTGTATCAAAGGTCTTTGTGAGCTCCTCTACTGGCTGAATCAAAGGTCTTTGTGAGCTCCTCTACTGGCTATATCAAAGGTCTTTGTGAGCTCCTCTACTGGCTGTATCAAAAGTCTTTGTGAGCTCCTCTACTGGCTGTATCAAAAGTATTTGTGAGCTCCTCTACTGACTGTACCAAAGGTCTTTGTGAGCTCCTCTACTGACTGTATCAAAGGTCTTTGTGAGCTCCTCTACTGACTGTATCAAAGGTCTTTGTGAGCTCCTCTACTGACTGTATCAAAGGTCTTTGTGAGCTCCTCTACTGACTGTATCAAAGGTCTTTGTGAGCTCCTCTACTGACTGTATCAAAGATCTTTGTGAGCTCCTCTACTGACTGTATCAAAGGTCTTTGTGAGCTCCTCTACTGGCTGTATCAAAGATCTTTGTGAGCTCCTCTACTGACTGTATCAAAGGTCTTTGTAAGGTCTATGAAGGTAGAATAGAGGTCGCAGTTCAGCTTTTAACACTTTTCCTGAAGCTGGCGAGCAGCAAAAATCATGTCAATGGTCCCTCGCTATTTTCGGAAGGCACACTGGTTCTCAGGCAGGAGGTCTTGATCAAGATGCACCGTAAGACGGTTATGGAGAATTCTAGCCAGGATTTTACCAGCAATAGACAACAGAGAGATTCCACGATGATTGCCACACATCTGGCGGTTTCCTTTACTTTAGGTTATACAAGTGTTTGATTGTTGCATCTTTGAAGTTCTTGTATTTCTTGCTGCCATATAAGTTGGAAAATTTGGTGTAGTTTTTCAGTGAGGACATTATCATCTTCTTTGAAAACTGCTGTGGGTATCTCATCAAGACCAGGAGCTTTACCACTAGAAAACTGATCAATGGCTTTTTTTTGGTCTCTAGAAGAGCTTGTGTTTCATCCAGGGCTGTATTCATAGGGACCTGGGCTAAACCATTTATAGCTTCTTCGTTTACGGATTGTAGGTTCAGGATGTTACTGAAGTGTTCAGCCCAGCGTCTGAGGATTGCATCGTTATCAGTGAGTAGTGAACGTCCATCTTTGCTGCGCAGGGGACAGGGTGATGGTGGCCCAGGTTCATATATCACTCACACACAGACACACACACACACACACACACACACACAGACAAACAGACATCCGCATGAAGAGACAATATAAACCCACTATTTTGGTCAGTGTCTGCAGTTTGAGGGTTGTCACCGCGCTTCATAATTCTTAAATATTTGGTTCGATTCAGCTGCAGGCGATTTGGCAGCAGACCGCTTGAGCTGATTTCAACAACAATTTGGAGCGCTATCCGGTTCTAAACCGTTTACCAGTGAAGTGTGTAACTTTTCGGTCCCAGCGTTTTAACCCCTTTCAGATTTAATGCTCATTTCCGAAATGAAACTAATTTTTCGTTATGCTAATATCTGAGGACAAATATCTGCTTTTTAGTGCAAGTTCCGAGGCCAGTAATATGTCTCTTACTGCTGATTTCTGCGCACATACATTTGGTTTAATGTGGATTTTTAGCACAAGAATATTTCTTTAGAATATAGTTCTTCTGTATGCTGGTCACATACATACACACGTACACACACATACACACACATTCTTACTGAGTGTCATCTTGATAGCAACCACTTGCCAACGCTTGGAGGAACTTCCTTTCTTCTGCTTCTGGAGGTTAAAGGTCTCGGCCATCACCACGGTTCCAAAAGTTCCCTTGCCGATGTGGTCCAGGAAGCGGATGTGTTTCCTGGGGAACTCCTCCAGTTCGTTGCTCTCCTGTGTGGATACAGATATAGGCACTCAGGTAATTAGTTCTGTCAGTGTACACAAGGGCGTGCAGACAGATGACATGGACCATGCAAGCGGGAATCAGACAGATTCGACAGGTGTAGACAGACAGACAGGCAGGCAGGCGACATGAATCATATTAGAGAGGAACAGACACGTGTGTAGTTACCAGCTAGGTGCAGACAGACAGGCAAGGAAATAGATCACACAAGAGCGAACAGACATGTTTAACTACAAGCCAAGTAGTAGACAGATAAACAGCGACAACTGGCAATTCGCAGACACCACATACCAATGGATAGAGGCAATAGACAAGACACGTAGCAGCAGACAGACAGACAATAAGGGAGTCTTGCAGGCGAGCCTGTAGATCAACAGACAATCACACAGTTATCTAGATTGTTGCTACCGGCGTTCCCCTTATAGGCAGATATTAAACAAGGTTGCCAGGTGAAAGTCTGGCTGTGAACTTTGGCGGAAAGTGTTGGTTGTTCTTCGTTGTCCCATGGGGTGAGATCTGGCGGATGACCCCGCTGCGACTGAACTTTATCGTTCGTTCGGCGTACGATGTATTACCGTCCGGTGTTAACATGGTTAAATGGTCTGCTACTAACGATCCGACTTGCCCGTTGTGTAAAGCGAAGCAGACTCTAGAACACGTCCTGTCCGGGTGCAGGAAAGCCCTAGGTCAAGGCCGATATACCTGGCGACACAACAAGGTGCTAAAAGAGTTAGCAGCCGTTGTTGACCAGCCTAGAATGAAGGCTAACGCCAGAGCCAGTTCTGCCATCGTCCCCATTCGTTTCCTCAAGGCTGGACAGGTTCCAAAAGGTAAGGTCAACCAAAACGCATTCGCTCCATCTGTGCTAGACTCTGCGAGGGACTGGTTACTGGCGTTTGATCTGCCGGGCCATGAAAGGTACCCCAAGATGATCCGGAAGACCGGCCTGCGACCTGACATAGTTCTCCACTCTGCGCAAAAACGGCAGCTCATCCTGATTGAGTTTACCGTTCCGTATGAGTCGCGTATGGAAGAGAATCACACGTATAAGCTCGAGAAATACAGTGATTTAGCAGCCGGTCTGAAGAGAAACGAGGCGTACACAGTACGGGTCTTTGCCGTCGAAGTGGGAGCGAGAAGCCTCGTTTCCACTTCGCTCTACAATGTGGTTAAAGAACTAGGATTGCGCGGTAATGAACGGAAACGAACATTTAAAAAACTGGGCGAGGCAGCCAAAAGGGCCTCGAGTTGGCTTTGGACGCAACGCAACAACGTAGGGGACGGGCCTCGGTGAGCTGGTCCGGGTGTCTAGTGGAAAAGAGTTTCTCACCCCTTGAAAGTCCATCGTGTCCGAATTGTCTGCCAGTGATCCTCTGCCACCTGCTAATAAAAGTCCAACATGTGTCCGTTAAACCAATCGTAAGCTTGTCGCTCGGTCGTCCAGGTATGCTGACTGCTTTAATTAGGCTGCCCCATCGACTTCTTATCTCACAGTACCTTCTGCAACCACCAAGTCGTCTTGTCCCTATCCGAAAGAAAAACACCATCCGGTAATCTCGTGCAGCAGGGTACCAGCCCTGAGCTTCATGAACTCAGGTGGGCCCACCTCCGAAAGCGTCTAGGAATCGTGGGCCGAAACGCTCGTTGACGAGGATAATTTCTACTGACGACTGGTAGATCCCTGCTGTACTTGCTCCCTGTGAGTTTATTCCTATTGTCTGAACTTTGGTTGGTTTTTTCCAGGACTTGGATTCGCGTGTGCGTCCATTTATTTGTGTGCAGATTGCTGGGTGCTCACACCTCAAGCAGATGGCTCTGACTAGGAAGAAAACGTCGAACTTATCTAAGATGGTCCTTCGAACCTAAGGAACCTTTTATTTAGGGTGACAACAGAGAGATGAAGATATGAAGATGTGACAGGGCTTTTTTTCAGTTTGAACATCCAACTGAAAAGATACTTGAATTTTATAGAAGTTATAAGGTAAAGATAACGGAAATTGTAACATTTATAATGACTCAGAAGCACACATGTGATCAACAAACAGGCACTAAAATGTGAAAACAATGACTGAGTAAACAAGAGAAACCATTTCTTGTGAAGACAGTGGCCTACTGGATCATATCCACTAGACAGACAAGATTGCAGAACGAATAGAAGGAAATGAAGGAGTCTATTGCGAATATTGCGTGTCCTACACAAAGCACAACAATGTGATGATGATGATGGTGATGATGATGATGGTGATGATGATGATGATGATGATGATTATTATTATTATGATAATGATGATGATGATGATGATAATAATGATAGTGATGATGATGATGATGATGATGATGATGGTGTTGATGATGATGATGGTGATGATGTTGATGATGATGATGATGGTGATGATGTTGATGATGGTGGTGATGGTGATGGTGATGATGGTGATGATGATGATGATGGTGATGATGATGGTGATGGTGGTGATGATGGTGATGATGATGATGATAGTGATGATGATAATGATAGTGATGATGGTTGTGATGGTGATGATGTTGATGATGATGATGATGATGATGTTGATGATGATGATGGTGATGATGTTGATGATGATGGTGATGGTGATGATGTTGATGATGGTGGTGATGGTGATGATGGTGGTGATGATGATGGTGATGATGATGATGATAGTGATGATGATGATGATGATAATGTTGATGTTGATGATGATGATGATGATGATGGTGATGATAATGATGATGATGATGATGGTGATGATGATGGTGGTGATGGCTGAGGCTGGAGCTTGTGAAATCCAGCAAAGACGCCTGTGGTTAATAAAGTCAATGTATGATCTTCTTCTTCAGCGATCTTTGGTCATGCGCATAATCCACTGTGGGTCATAAACTGGGATGTCTTTTCAAAGTCTCTTAGGTTTCCCCAAAGCTTAGTTGTCAGTTCTACTGGGTGTTGCCATATGTCGCTCTGCAGCTCCGCCAGGAGAGGACAGTCTTGCAGGACATGTTCTGGAGTCTGTTCAGTGCGAAGGCACTGGCAGAGAGCTGTTTGGCTCATACCTAATTGATGTGAGTGTTTATTGAGTCTGCAGTGTCCAGTGCGTAAGCGAAAAACTGTGACTTGGTCTGTTCTGTTCAAGTGCCTCAGAAAATCTTTTCCGTAGTTATAACCAGTGTTGGTTTTCCAATCTATTTCTGATTTTCTCTTAATGAGAGTTTTGACTTTTGGAAAAGATAGTGGCTGGTAGGTCTGTGGTTTGTTACTGCCTTCATTGGCTAAAGCATCTGCGCTTTCATTGCCTTTGATGCCACAGTGAGACGGAATCCATTGCAAGTGAATTTCTGCCTTATTTGACAACATAGGAAGTTCCTGTGTTAGACTTAATGTATGATGAGACATATGTTTCCTGACAAAGACATCAAGACACTTCATGCGGTTTCACTTACCGACTTGGTGAAGGCCTTGTTGATGAACAAGGGAGCCTTGGAGCTGGAGGTGACCCGGGCAAGGTAGCGAGAATGATGCCGCAACTGAGGAACGGAAAGTTCGTAAACACACGTGACAAAACTGGCATGTTTTGTTCCATAACTTATCATTGTCTCTTAACGGATAAAACTGGCATGTTTTGTTCCATAACTTATCATTGTCTCTTAACGGATAAAACAAGCAGCTCTCTTGCTTGAGGTTAGTGAAATCGTTTCACAATGTAATCCTCGATATTGTCCAGGGATCGATTCCTGCGGTAGGCAGTTTACAAAATACGGTTCTCGTAGCGTTCAGACAGTGGTACGAGTCACACCAGAAAAGAGAATAGGGACTCGCCACAGTAATGTGCCCACAGTCAGCAGGAGATATGTTTAGGTCGGCCCATTTTCATGTTGAAAGGATATAGAGTTTTGCTGTGGTAGGTCATCGTCATCATCATCGTTGTCTACATCACCATGAGCTATACCAGTAGGTGTTCGCAATCACCGCAATCACAGATCAGATCAATGCTCTTGTCGCGCCTCATGCATGTAGTCATGACATCCAGGTATGCCTCTCTTTGTTTTCCTTTCTGCTCTCTTTCATCTTGTGTTTGGACCTTTGATTTTACGAATGTCTGTGTGTGTGTGTGTGTGTGTGTGTGTGTGTGTGTGTGTGTGTGTCTGTGTATTTGTGTGTGTATGTGTTGCGTTGGGCGTTGACTAAAGCACTCCTGTTCCTGAGATAAAACGTTGTTTCTAAACCCTGACATGTGGGGGCGGGATTCGGTTTATCTGAAGACAAACAGTGCCCACTTCAGTTGGGGATACGAACCTGCTGTCAGTGGGAGGGCTTCTCATACAGAGCGAGAACAGATGAAACATGTCTAATTTAAACATGAGCACAGATAAAACATGAGCAAAGATAAAACATGACCATAGATATAACATGACCACAGATATAACATGACCACAGATATAACATGACCACAGATATAACATGACCACAGATATAACATGACCACAGATATAACATGACCACAGATATAACATGACCACAGATATAACATGACCACAGATATAACATGACCATAGATAAAACATGACCATAGTTAAACATGACCATAGATAAACATTACCACAGTTAAACATGACCACAGTTAAACATGACCACAGATATAAAATGACCACAGTTAAACATGACCATAGATATAACATGACCACAGTTAAACATGACCACAGATAAAACATGACCACAGATAAAACATGACCATAGTTAAACATGACCACAGTTAAACATGACCACAGATAAAACATGACCATAGTTAAACATGACCACAGTTAAAAAAGACCACAGTAAAACATGACCACAGATATAACATGACCACAGATAAAACATGACCACAGATATAACATGACCATAGATAAAACATGACCACATATATAACATGACCACAGATAAAACATGACCACAGATAAAACATGACCACAGATATAACATGACCACAGATTTAACATGACCACAGATATAACATGACCACAGATGTAACATGACCATAGATAAAACATGACCACATATATAACATGACCACAGATATAACATGACCACAGATATAACATGACCACAGATATAACATGACCACAGATATAACATGACCACAGATATAACATGACCACAGATATAACATGACCACAGATATAACATGACCACAGTTAAACATGACCACAGTTAAACATGACCACAGGTATAACATGACAACAGATATAACATGACCACAGATATAACATAACCACAGATAAACCATGACCACAGATATAACATGACCACAGATAAAACATGACCACAGATATAACATGACCACAGATAAAACATGACCACAGTTAAACATGACCACAGATATAACATGACCACAGATATAACATGACCACAGGTATAACATGACCACAGATATAACATGACCACAGATAAACCATGACCACAGATATAACATGACCACAGATAAACCATGACCACAGATATAACATGACCATATATAAAACATGACCACAGATATAACATGACCACAGATATAACATGAGTACAGATATAACATGAGTACAGATATAACATGACCACAGATATAACATGACCACAGATATAACATGACCACAGATATAACATGACCACAGATATAACATGACCACAGATATAACATGACCACAGATATAACATGACCACAGATATAACATGACCACAGATATAACATGACCACAGATATAACATGACCACAGATATAACATGACCACAGATATAACATGACCATAGCTATAACATGACCAAAGATAAAACATGACCAAATATAAAACACGACCAAAGATAAAACATGTCCATAGATAAAACATGACCATAGATAAAACATGACCATACATAAACCATGACCATAGATAAAACATGACCATACATAAAACATGACCATACATAAAACATGACCATAGATAAAACATGACCAAAGATAAAACACGACCAAAGATAAAACATGACCATAGATAAAACATGACCAAAGACAAAAAATAACCATACATAAAACATGACCATACACAAAACATGACCATAGATAAAACATGACCATAGATAAAACATGACCATAGATAAAACATGACCATAGATAAAACATGACCATAGATAAAACATGACCATACATAAAACATGACCATACAAAAAACATGACCAAAGATAAAACACGACCAAAGATAAAATATGACCATAGATAAAACATGACCATACATAAAACATGACCATAGATAAAACATGACCATACATAAACCATGACCATAGATAAAACATGACCATACATAAAACATGACCATACATAAAACATGACCATACATAAAACATGACCATACATAAAACATGACCATACATAAAACATGACCATACATAAAACATGACCATAGATAAAACATGACCAAAGATAAAACACGACCATAGATAAATCTTGACCACAGATAAAACATGACCAACGAAAAAACATGACCAAAGATAAAACATGACCAAAGATAAAATATGACCACAGATAAAACATGACCAAAGAAAAAACATGACCAAAGAAAAAACATGACCAAAGATAAAACATGACCATAGATAAAACATGACCAAAGATAAAACATGACCACAGATAAAACATGACCAAGGATAATACATGACCACAGATAAAACATGACCAAAGATAAAACATGACTACAGATAAAACATGAACAGAGATAAAACATGACCAAAGATAAAACATGACGACAGATAAAACATGACCATATTTAAAACATGACCAAAGATAAAACATGACCAAAGATAAAACATGACCAAAGATAAAACATGACCACAGATAAAACATGACCATAGATAAAACATGACCAAACATAAAACATGACCATAGATAAAACATGACCAAAGATAAAACACGACCAAAGATAAAACATGACCATAGATAAAACATGACCAAAGACAAAAAATGACCATACATAAAACATGACCATAGATAAAACATGACCATAGATAAAACATGACCATAGATAAAACATGACCATAGATAAAACATGACCATAGATAAAACATGACCATACATAAAACATGACCATACATAAAACATGACCAAAGATAAAACACGACCAAAGATAAAACATGACCAACGAAAAAACATGACCAAAGATAAAACATGACCAAAGATAAAATATGACCACAGATAAAACATGACCAAAGATAAAACATGACCAAAGATAAAACATGACCAAAGATAAAACATGACCATAGATAAAACATGACCAAAGATAAAACATGACCACAGATAAAACATGACCAAGGATAATACATGACCACAGATAAAACATGACCAAAGATAAAACATGACTACAGATAAAACATGAACAGAGATAAAACATGACCAAAGATAAAACATGACGACAGATAAAACATGACCACATTTAAAACATGACCAAAGATAAAACATGACCAAAGATAAAACATGACCAAAGATAAAACATGACCACAGATAAAACATGACCATAGATAAAACATGACCAAACATAAAAAATGACCAAAGATAAAACATGACCAAAGATAAAACATGACCACTGATGAAACTTTACCAAAGATAAAACATGACCACAGATAAAACATGACCACAGATAAACCATGACCACAGATAAAACATGACCAAAGATAAAACATGACCACAGATAAAACATGACCACAAATAAAACTTGACCATAGATATGATATGATTACAAATAAAACATGACCACAGATTAAACGTGGCCACAAATAAACACATGACCACAGATAAGCACATGACCATAAATAAATGTATTACCATAGATACAGCATGGCCAACGATAAGAAATAATGTCGGCATAAAATATTAGCCACATGAAAACATTACCATAGATGACAACATAACTACAGACAAAAGCATAACCATAGATAATGATAAACCAACGATTAAACAAATACTGACCATCTTCTTTCTCCAAACAACAGCACAAGCAACAGCGACTCCAGTTAAGAGCACCATGAACACAACGCCGATACTTAGCCACACAACATCGATTGTATTTTTCTCCGCCTGCTCATGGGGGTGGTGGTCGTCGCCGTCCTCGTCATCATCTGCGTGGTGAGAAGTATTGCCTTTATCGTCGTCGTCAAGAAGGGGACTTAAGTCTCGCTTGCTTTTGCCTCTAATTGTGTGGTGCCTTGAGTGTGTGCCTGTTGAGCGGTGTGACGCTGTCAACAAACAGGTGTAACTTAGCAACTACGTTTGGTGTTTAAACAGATGACTGCAAACTCAGTGAGATGTTTGGTGTTTAAACAGATGACTGCTAACTCAGTGAGATGATTGGTGTTTAAACAGATGACTGCTAACTCAGTGAGATGATTGATGTTTAATCAGATGACTGCTAACTCAGTGAGATGATTGGTGTTTAATCAGATGACTGCTAACTCAGTGAGATGATTGGTGTTTAAACAGATGACTGCTAACTCAGTGAGATATTTGGCGTTTAAACAGATTACTGCTAACTCAGTGAGATGTTTCGTGTTTAAACAGATGACTGCCAACTCAGTGAGATGTTTGGTGTTTAATCAGATGACTGCTAACTCAGTGAGATGTTTGGTGTTTAAACAGATGACTGCTAACTAAGTGAGATGTTTGGTGTTTAATCAGATGACTGCTAACTAAGTGAGATGTTTGGTGTTTAAACAGATGACTGCTAACTCAGTGAGATGTTTGGTGTTTAATCAGATGACTGCTAACTCAGTGAGATGTTTAGTGTTTAAACAGATTACTGCTAAGTGGGATGTTTGGTGTTTAAACAAATGACTGCTAACTCAGTGAGATGTTTGGTGTTTAAACAGATGACTGCTAACTAAGTGAGATGTTTGGTGTTTAAACAAATGACTGCTAACTCAGTGAGATGTTTGGTGTTTAAACAGATGACTGCTAACTCAGTGAGATATTTGGTGTTTAAACAGATGACTGCTAACTAAGTGAGATGTTTGGTGTTTAAACAGATGACTGCTAACTCAGTGAGATGTTTGGTGTTTAAACAGATGACTGCTAACTCAGTGAGATATTTGGTGTTTAAACAGATGACTGCTAACTCAGTGAGATATTTGGTGTTTAAACAGATTACAGCTAACTAAGTGAGATGTTTGGTGTTTAAACAGATTACTGCTAACTAAGTGAGATGTTTGGAAGTTCTAAATAATTTTGCGTAAAAGCTGCCATCGTCTTCTTTTGTCAATGTCTGCTTGTGCCGCTTGGCGTCGCCTAGCCAGGGCGATCAGTGATGTTTTGCAGTCTCAATGTGTCATTGACTCCTTCAATCCATACTTTTTCTCAGTCTTCATCTGCCTCTTGCTGTTTCCATTTTCAGGTAGTGCGCTCTTGCTGCTGGCGTTGTTGGTTTCATTCTCATTAGATGGCCAAACCATTTTATTCTTTGTTTCTCAATAAATTTGATGATAGGTGTTGTTCCAACAGCTCTTGTGATCACGTTGTTTCTCCTCGATCTCTTCTAATTTTAATCCCAGCCATTCTTAAACATCTCACCTCACAGCTGGTTAGTTTTCTTTCGTGTTCTTTTGTCAATGTCCAAACATTGGTAACTTAAAGTCGGTAATAATATTTATATCATCAAAAATGATTGATTTATTCCGGAGGAAAAAAAAATGATTTTTAAAAAAAAAACATGAAAGGACTGAATTGTATAGTCTAAATATCCTGAGCTGTGACATAGATTAGGGTCGATAGTCACAATATTTGAGGATATAACACCGATACGGATCAGTGGTCAAAATATTTTAGACTGTAACACCGATACGGATCAGTGGTCAAAATATTGTAGACTGTAACACAGATAAGGAAGTTAAAGTAAAGGTCCTCTTTCCACACCTTTAGGCGTAGCAGGAATATAGGGCTAGACCTATTTGTTCATAGACCAATCGGTACTTGGTAGGTGATGTGATCAGCCTCAAATCGGCTGCCTTTACTTCCTAGGACTGCACCTGGTACCCACTCAAGGCTAGGTCGACCTGGAGGTCAAGGTAATTTTTGAAAGAAAAAAATGTTTGGCTCCATTAGCACGTGAACCCGCGACCTTCCGATCTGCAGGCGTGTGTCTAGCCACCAACGCCACTGCGACTGCCACAGAAGGGTGCTCTTAGGTGGTTCATGGACACATGGGTATAGTCGAAACGGTCCTTGACTATTCGTGAGTATTCGTGCACAGATAAAATGCCTTCCCTAGTAGTATAATGTTTTGCGGTTGTGTAAAGCACCTGGATAGTTACGATAAAATGTTCGTGGAATTCATCATCATCAATCAGGTTGTTTACAGAACAGAACACTATTCACGGCACGACAGAACAGAACACTCCTCACGGCACGACAGAACAGAACACTCCTCACGGCACGACAGAACAGAACACTCCTCACGGCACGACAGAACAGAACACTCCTCACGGCACAACAGAACAGAACACTCCTCACGGCACGACAGAACAGAACACTCCTCACGGCACAACAGAACAGAACACTCCTCACGGCACGACAGAACAGAACACTCCTCACGGCACAACAGAACAGAACACTCCTCACGGCACGACAGAACAGAACACTCCTCACGGCACGACAGAACAGAACACTCCTCACGGCACGACAGAACAGAACACTCCTCACGGCACGACAGAACAGAACACTCCTCACGGCACGACAGAACAGAACACTCTTCCCGGCACGACAGAACAGAACACTCCTCACGGCACGACAGAACAGAACACTCCTGACGGCACGACAGAACAAAACACTCCTCACGGCACGACAGAACAAAACACTCCTCACGGCACGACAGAACAGAACACTCCTCACGGCACGACAGAACAAAACACTCCTCACGGCACGACAGAACAGAACACTCCACACGGCACAAATAAGAGTCTTGTTCTCTAGCTAATCCTACAGCCCTATGTCCTTTCATAGCCAAATCATCTTATAAGATGTGTGTCCACCTTTGTGGAGTATAGTCCCTGCCTCGTATTCCGGAAACTGCACTATTGTTCACAGTTCTCTAGAGGCGACATGACGTTCAACATGGTTTCGATACCTCCGGATTGCCATGAGCCCAGTTGTGATTCTTCAGGATATATATACGTTAGCGAAGAATCAAAGTTTCTAGATAAGTTCTAAATGTGCTTAATAATAATAATATAATTATTAATAATAAAAATGTGCTATATGGTCTAAATGGTTAAACAATACAAATCACGTTTTTGAAATAATATGACATGTGTAAATACAAACTTAAAAAGAGAATTTCTACGCTGCATGGCTGTGATGGGATAGGGTGGTCTTTTTTTCTGAAAAGGCTTTGGGCACCTGAGCTTGGAAGGGCTTTACAACAATCACAGTGGGATTGGTGCAAGGAGTTTTCTTCAAACTCGGTACCTGTCTGTCTTACCTACGGACCAACTATTGTGACATCGCTAGCACAGTTTATCGTACATCTGGGCCAACTATTGTGACATCGCTAGCACAGTTTATCGTACATCTGGGCCAACTATTGTGACATCGCTAGCAAAGTGTGTCGTACCTCTGGGCCAACTATTGTGACATCGCTAGCAAAGTTTGTCGTACATCTGGGCCAACTATTGTGACATCGCTAGCAAAGTCTGTCATACAACTGGGCCAACTATTGTGACATCGCTAGCACAGTCTGTCGTACCTCTGGGCCAACTATTGTGACATCGCTAGCAAAGTTTGTCGTACATCTGGGCCAACTATTGTGACATCGCTAGCAAAGTCTGTCATACAACTGGGCCAACTATTGTGACATCGCTAGCAAAGTCTGTCGTACCTCCGGACCAACTATTGTGACATCGCTAGCACAGTTTGTGGTACATCTGGGCCAACTATTGTGACATCTCTAGCCTAGTCTGTCGTACAACTGGATCAAATATTGTGATAGCGCTAGCCAAGTCTGCTGTACAATTGTACCAACTATTGTTGCCATCGCTAGCCAAGTCTACCTCACAACCGGACTAACTATTGTGAGATCGCTAGCCAAGTCTTTGGTCCAACTGGACAAACCATTGTGTCGTCACTAGCCAAGTCTGTCAGCTGAACTAACATCAATACCATATTCAGCCAGGGCTGGCAGTTACCCAGAGACACAAGTAAAAACTTGAGGACCCTCTTCCGCCCCTGCCGGCCTATTGGGCATCTATGAACAGACCTATATTTTATAAGCCAGTCGGCACTAGGTGTGTGACGTTCTCATTGTCACCCCAGCCACCTTTACTTCCTAGTACTTCTGCCTTGTACTCCCTCAAAGCTGGGTCGACCTAGGAGTCATTGTCGTTTTTGAAGAAGAAAAAGTCCAGCTCCATTCAGATTTAAACCAACGATCTTTGGATCAGCAGCCGAGAGTCCAGTCGCTACACCACAGCGGCTGTCTCTAGAAACAATGACCGTGTTCGAAGTTTTCCATTTTCTGCAAATACAACCAGAGAAGGCAGCCGTTTTGTTAACGCTTTCAAACATGTTCAACAACAAGTTACACGTCACCTGATTTTCTGAACACAACCAAGGTGCTGGAGCGTAGAAGGGAACCCACTCCAACGGAACACATGTAGACTCCTAGACAACCTCTGCTAGCTCGAGCAAACTCTATTGTAATCTCATGATCCCGGTAATCGTGGTCGAAGTCGCATTTCTCTTTCATCCACTTTGGAGACTTTGTCGATTTTACATTTAAACTCGACAGACCAGAATCAGTAGTCGTAGGATTTGTAGTCACTGCGTCTAGGCTGATTGGTTCTGTGACGTTTTGTGGATGATAATTTTCTAATGGTAATAATTCCATGGTGAATTTAGTCTGGAAAAGAAAAAGAATAAAACAAGGCAAATCATATACAGCCTTTATCAACAGACCGTAACAATGTATTTAGCAGGTATTGTAATGTTCTAAACAACTGTTACCACTACAACTACTACTATTACTAACACTTCTAATATTGCTACGGCTGCTGTTGGTTCTTTAAACTGTTAATATTAGTATTATAACTTCTTTTTCATCTTCTTCGTCTTCGCCTTCTTCTTCTTCTTATTATTCTTATTCTTCTACTGCTGCTTCATCTTCAACTTGCGTTCGCCCTTAAAAAGACAGCTCACATTTCATATTGTGGTTAACATCTAGGCTGCGATATCTGCGCCTGTCGACCTAACACATCCGCTTTCAGCAAACGCTTAATTAGTCGCAGTTTACGATGTGCTTGTTAGGGGACATAATCAAAGAATCTACAAGAACTGACTGGCACTCACATAAACAAGTAGACAGGTAAGAGGACACAGTAGACAACAGAAACATCGAAAGCTATAGTTGCCATTCCAGGAATAGAACATGTCACCTCCAGACGTGGAAACAGTGAATTAACACACGTGGCCACTCCACAGCACTGAACATATGTCACGGTAAGCCACGTACATTATGCAGATTGAACCCACAACTGTGGAATATGGACATAATTAATTTCAAACCACTGAGATAGCACCATGGGCTAGAAAACAAATATTAACCAAACCTAGTTCAAATAACAGACACCAGACCGTGATGCTGTGTCCGGCATACCCTGACAATTTAGAGAAGAGAACTGTTAGTAAGCAAATGGTATATCTTCTGCAGATCGCCCCCCCCCCCCCCCCACAACCCCCGTCCCTTTTTTGCCATACGGGGACTGAATGCAGACAGGGACTACAAATACCACATCTACTACTTATATAATTACCAACACAAACAGCACTACTACCAACACAAACAGCACTACTACCAACACAAACAGCACTACTACCAACACCAACATCACCACCATTTTTGCTCTGTTATTCTCTACAAACTTACCCCAGTCTGTGATCTACGAAGTAACGGGGCAGTACAGGTCAAGGACGGACGGCCTCTCGGATCAAGTAAGGCCAGGCCCTTTTCGGGAGTTGGTTTAAACACAGGGGCCCTTTGATCCACACAGTGAGGCCTCACTTCTAATGGCCATTCTCTGTGATCAATCCCTGCCAATGAGAAGTGGGCACTTTTAAGCTACTCTTTGCTACAGTCTTCTTCTAACTGTTGAAGTTTTTCGTCTGTCCAGACGAGAGTGTTATATTGGGAACTTGCAACGTTAATCTCTCCACGCCCCGCCTATATACACACAAGGTCACTTCTTTTTGGTAGTTCCTGAGCCTCGTGTCCTTCGCAAAAGGTCAGAGGGGTGTTCCGCGATATTGTTGATATCCCGTGTTGTATATTTTAGCACGCCAGTATTGTGACAAAGCTCCAAAAACGTAAAGTAACTGGTTCTAACACAACCCTCATAGAGAGTGCTGCAACTTAAGTCAAAGGCATTCTCTGTCTTAGAATGAAAACTTAAATGCAAGATAACACAGAAAGGAAACAATAGAGCGGTACACACCTGTAACCTTCAGGAAAGTCGACCAGCCCAACAAACTTGTGAGTGAAAAGTGACCTAGTCTATTTAGAGAGATTTGCGTTATGTTAACCTTTTATTGTACTATGTATAGGCGAGTGTGACTAGCAAGACCCGCCCCCGTTAAGAAATGTCTTCCACGGTGAGAGCATGGGTTTCTGGGATTGTTGTTGCTATCACAGTAAATTCGTCTCAGACGCTTAGCTCTCATTTTTTTTTTCCTGCAATAATTTGTTTCTTTCATTATCATTCCCTTCCTGCTTTGCTCCGTCTATGCAAATTCCCACGAATTTACAACAATGCCTGTATTATTCATGCCCCGCTTTCACAAATCTTTATATGGTAGTCGAGGCGAACACTGACACACAATCATACAGTTTATCATTCTAGGTTTTGCGTTTTGCTGTATGTATCTTTATCTTGTAGCATCTGACGAATTCACATAATGCCATCTTTCACGGCTTCGTGACAGTTTTCAAGAAACTCGCATATATGCCATTCGTTTCCATATAATGTCAGCATAGTTTTTAGGGAGCTCAAATATACACATTTCTTCACATAAAGCTCTAGGGTACTATTTAGTAAGCTCGTTAATACAAATGTACATAAAATTGTAGCATAACACGTGTATCAAACTTCTCTAACTAACGTTTAGTAAAATCACTTCTGCATTTTTTAAAAATACATTACCGTTCCTAATTTTGTTATCACCGTATGTGGAGGTATTGCAGCATATACTGCTGTAGCGTGTCTTATTTTGTTTACTGTTTTCCCACATTACAGCTCTATTAACAATCGATTCTGCTGGTTACATTGTTAACTGTACTAGTCTCAGGAAATGTTACCATAATTTGTTGAACACGAAGATTCAAACACCTGCCACCATTTACTCTTTCAGTACCAAACAGCACCCCATGAGTGACTGGATATTACTCATATGCGCCAGTCAAATCGTTATGTATATTTTTACATCATATAATTAGTTAGGGCGTACTCCAAACAAACAAAAAACTCCTGCAACACAAGTGTTTCGTTTGAGAAGTGTCTGTTTAGGCCCTGTGGATGTGATACACCAATGATTTTGCTGCTTTTATTACTGCCCAACAAAATAAATTAGCTACCACCTTTTGGGATTGAAAGAGTTAAGGAACACTTGCTCAGCCAGTCTTATTCTTTATTCAACAGTTGATAACACCATTATAGCTAAGATCACTTAATAAAACACCACTATACAGAAGTGATATTCTAAGTTAACTGTTACAAGGAGCTTGAAACATGACGTATTTCACAAATTTAAATAGTTGATAAAAAAATTTTAGACTCATTAAACATACACAGTAAACAGATCTTCTGTCTCATACTTTATGGTTGCGCTCATAGAATTCGTTTATATAAATATTTATTTCAAATAATTTTAACACAATTTCAGGTCGCTCGATCATACAGATCCTTTCAATATAATATAATGTTTTACCAATCTTCCTATACAAAACGTACAAAAAACACACACAAATTATAAAAACTTAAACAAAACGCAAAAAACTTTACCAAAACTCACTTATATAAATTTCTTCCAGTATACTGTTAGCGTAACTTTTAGCACATTCGGTGAAATAAATCTCCTCCAAACTGACTTGATCGAACCTTTTGGTAATTTCCTATATTGACAATCTTTTCGACATCATTTGGAATGGTGTTCCTGGAGTCCATATATCTAGCGTCACAATCAAATTTAACTGTATGAGTTCACATACTGACATATATGCAAACATAACTTCGGCAGAATGTTTAGAAAAGTTTTTGTTGTGATAACAATGTTGTTTGTTTGTTTTTGTTTTAAATTAATTAACCCTCGACTATTTTGCTTAGGGTTGAAGTTTACACACTATAACTTTAAACCTTAATGGAATCTACGCAGAAATATTACACTATGGTTGATGCAAACGCATAAATTCAATTGCTAGAATCTATCTACACGGTGTCCCATCATTTTATATACACAGGAAAAGATAACACATCGCAAGCTCCGTTACACGCATAACAGTAGCTGGGCACATGTGTCCAAATGTGTTTTCAGAACAAAGCTACATTTCCTTGTATGGAAACTTACTGTAGTATGCTATCCATTTCTGCTGCTGTTGCTGCTGCTGCTGCTACCACCACAACCTACAACTACAAATACCTGCACTTCCGTTACACGCATAACAGTAGCTGGGCACATGTGTCCAAATGTGTTTTCAGAACAAAGCTACATTTCCTTGTATGGAAACTTACTGTAGTATGCTATCCATTTCTGCTGCTGTTGCTGCTGCTGCTGCTACCACCACAACCTACAACTACAAATACCTGCACTTCCGTTACACTTTACTTACCTGGGACAGACTGGTTCAGTGAGACAGAACATGTAAGAGGTGCGGCGATCCCAGGCCCACTGACCAGACAAGTGTAGTCACCAGAGGCTGGACTCCATATGACCAGTTTGGGCTGGTTGTCATGGTACAGCTGTAGAAATCACATGCATGTCATCATGTCTGTCAGGTTTAAATTTAAATTTTCATCCAGATACTTTGATCCTTAATAACAGTTATTTACAACCTTTTTCAGATGGCGCCAGCTTCCCCCCCCCCCCCCCCCCAACCTTTTTCCACACAAATAAACAAAAAATCAAAATCTTAAAAAAAAATGGAATCATCTTTTGCCATTAATTAAACTTCGGATTACTTGCTTTTTTTTTTAACAGACAGTAGCAGACAATCTTTGCCAACAGTGAGAGGTTCTTGAACAGACAGTAGCAGACAATCTTTGCCAACAGTGAGAGGTTCTTGAACAGACAGTAGCAGACAATCTTTGCCAACAGTGAGAGGTTCTTGAACAGACAGTAGCAGACAATCTTTGCCAACAGTGGCCGGATTTCTGATGAATTTCCAAGGCAAGTCATGAAATAACGTGTAGGCAACAATCAATCCCTAGGGACTATGGAGTTGTGCCGTTGCTATGGGAAACAGTGTATGTCATGACTGTCAGTTCCAATGCCGGAGTGTCAGTCTCTGTCACATAGAAACCCACTGTCGTTCTGAGGCTGTTTGTCTCTCAGACGTCTCATCTTTATAGCTTGCTGCATTTGGGCTCTTTCCAACTGCGACAGTCTGTCTGTCACTGCCTATGTTTGGGCTCTTTCCAACTGCGATAGTCCGTCTGTCACTGTCTGTGTTCGGGCTCTTTCCAACTGCGACAGTCTGTCTGTCACTGTCTTTGTTTGGGCTCTTTGCAACTGCGAAAGTCCATCTGTCACTGTCTGCCCACAAAGGAGTCAGTCTGCAGCTGATCTCTCCCAAGTGTGTGTGTCACTACAGGTCGTGTATCCATGTGCCCTTATAGCGAAGTTTTGGCCTCCCTGCAGCTCTTATCTCTGTTGCCAGTTCCCTACAAGGAAGATCCTTTGGAATGCAACCGTCCTCGACATCAAATGATAGATCTGGAAATTAGGGACTGAACTCCTCCACCGTCGACCAGAAACTCTAAATCTGGCAGAAATTTAGCTACAAGTTCATGATTCTCACACTTTTCATTTTTAAACAGTTTATTCAGAGAAGCTCTTGAATTCAGCTCGTTTCCATTACTTAATCATTTCTCCCACAATAGTTGTGATGGCGTCATAGGATAGAATAATGTTACCATCTTATCCTTGGAGTTTTCAGTTTCAGTTATTCAAAGCTTCAAAAACAACAACAACGCAAACAACAAAAACTCTAATATTTGCCAACGAAAAGCAAACGAGTTTTCAGTAAAGGCATGATACAGATCAATTGTTCATTTATTTACGAGAAACACTTTGTCCGCAGACCAACTCTTCCTGTGTAGGTTCCGGGGCCCCACTGTGGTTTAAATCCCGCGATAAAGTTTTGACTGTCATGTCCTGTCTCTCCCAGGTTAGAGACCACTGATTTAAATAGGCTTCAGAATAAACGCCTAGATTTTGTTGAAAATGCTGGGGAAATGTCTAGATGTGGTTAAAATTGCTGGGAAAACGTCTAAATTTGGTTGAAAGTGCTCGAGGTACGTCTAGATTTTGTTGAAACTCCTGAGGAAACGTCAATGGCAATAACTGGTTTTGGTATTACAGTGCTCAGAAAAGCAAACTTGGGTGTGGATTATGTCTCTTCTGATTGTGCAGACAGTAACAATGCAGACTTTTTTTTTTAAGCGCATTCCGTATATCAGTTACTGCTAAGCAAATACTCAGATTTACTGAACACTAATTTCTATAATCATATCACATCCAACCCAATTAAGTTTGCAATCGACAGATAAGATATTGATGTTGAAAGTATGGTCTTAATGGTATATGATCACTTCTCTGACTCTGGGAATAGATGGGACGCGTTAAAAAGCGTTCTTTGAATTTGTGAATTTTTTGTAGACTGAGATTTGGAGGCATATTCGGACACTAGAGGGCGTTCATTAACACCGGCCATTTCTCCTCTGGCTGAGAACTGTGAAGCGATGACAAGTTACAAGTGGAACTCCCAACTGTCAACAATAAAAATCAAAGACACTCATGAAAGATGACCCGGCTGCAGCTCGGTTTAACTTCTGAAGTAATATTGCAAGTCGACTGGGAATAGTCTGACTGAGTGTGACAGAGACTTACACACACACACACACACACACACACACACACACACACTTACACACACACGCACAAACACACACAAGCACACACACACGCATAAACACACACACAAATCCATAGAAGTGTGTCAGCCAAGCGAAAATGTTTGTATTAATGGATAACTGGTACAACGAGCTCGGCAGTCATGGAGATTACCTCTGCAGTGGTGACAAAAATGGTGATTATGTTGCACGTTGTGTACATTTTATTTATTCACTATATAAGCATGGTGACAGGTATTCTCCACGGCCAGCTCCAGATTTATAAGGCCGTACAGCTCGAACGGGAATTCCCGTTCTTGTGCAAGAATTGAGTCCTCTGCGTCCACAGTTTTTATCGAGGAGATGTATACGCAAATTAAACTACAGTTTCATTGATTTTCTACATATTTTTAAAACTAAACGTCATTTTTAAGGTAAATAAGTGTGCCGAATAAATATAACAATAAAGGCTCTTACAGACAAACAAAAATGCTTTTGCTACAGTCAACATGAGCATAAACACCAATAACGTTTAGATGTAAACTAAAAGTTGTTCCAGCAAAAGTAAAGAAATATCAGCGCTAACTCTTTGATTCTGAGAGGGTATTGTTGCATCAGAGGAGCGGAGGGGGGGGGGGGAGAGGAGAGGGGGGGGGGTGACATTTGTACTTTATCAAATTTAGCGCATACAAATTTTGCTATGAAACATACACATATCATACCTAACATAAATATAAATGATTGATGGTTATTATTATTATTAGTAGACTACTACAACATATAATTATACTGTTATTTAATAATTAGTAAACAAGCACAATCAGTATGAAATTGATATGTGCAATACTTTATTCACCCAGAATAGTTTTCTTAACAGTACTTCTAGCACTACTAAATATGTATCCTCAAGGTACAAACAGCACAAACAGATTTGTCCAGTTTCATCTTGTTGGATGAAATTAATTCCTTACCAATGCGAATTTTTTGGTAACAAATATGCAAGGAAGTAGATGAACAAACAGAAGTTTCCGCAAGACTTTACAGCCAGTGTTCGCGAAGCAAAGCAAAAGCCAGTTTACACAAATTAACACAGACGGTACAACTGCAAATAAGCAAAAGAAGTCGAGGAGCAACCAAACGTTTCCACAAGAGTTTACAGCCAGTGTTCGTGAAGCAAAGCAAAAGCCAGTTTACAAAAAATTAACACAGACCGTACAACTGCAAATATGCAAAAGAAATCGATGAGCAACCAGAAGTTTCCGCAAGAGTTTACAGCCAGTGTTCGCGAAGCAAAGCAAAAGCCAGTTTACACAAATTAACACAGGCCGTAGAACTGCAAATATGCAAAAGAAGTGGATGAACTACCAAAAGTTTCCGCAAGAGTTTACAGCCAGTGTTCGCGAAGCAAAGCAAAAGCCAGTTTACAAAAATTAACCCAGACCGTAGAACTGCAAATATGAAAAAAAAGTGGATGAACTACTAGAAGTTTCCACAAGAGTTTACAGCCAGTGTTCGCGAAGCAAAGCAAAAGCCAGTTTACAAAAACTGACACAGACCGTAGAACTGCAAATATGCAAAAGAAGTGGATGAACTACCAGAAGTTTCCGCAAGAGTTTACAGCCAGTGTTCGCGAAGCAAAGCAAAAGCCAGTTTACAAAAATTAACACAGACCGTAGAACTGCAAATATGCAAAAGAAGTGGATGAACTGCCAGAAGTTTCTGCAAGAGTTTACAGCCAGTGTTTGCGAAGCAAAGCAAAAGCCAGTTTACAAAAATTAACACAGACCGTAAAACTGCAAATATGCAAAAGAAGTGGATGAACTACCAGAAGTTTCCGCAAGAGTTTACAGCCAGTGTTCGCGAAGCATAAGTCAAATGGTTAAGGATTAATATTATTAGTGTACTGCTACAACACATAATTATACTGTTAGTCAACAATTAGTAAAGAGGCAAAGAGTGACTAGCTGTGAGAGTTAAGTTAGTAAATTAAATATTATTTTCATCCACTTACCTAGAGCTCCGAAATATCTTGACACAATTTATCCACAGTGTGGTTGCACCATTTATGCACAGTCAATATGAAAGCAATAGTTTTCTTCAAACACAAGGTAGTTTGCCCCTGACAACTGTCAATTTTCTCCAGATATGGCTTCTAAATTACCTGTTTGTATTATCCCTAAAAGTAAGATTTCTACATTTAAAGTAGAAAAGTAATAAACAGCCAGTTCCCAGAAATCCAAACTACTGACTAGAAACAGTGACACACACATCACAACTGTCTTCCGTGAATTAAATTAAAATTAAAATTGCTGTATATCCACTTCACAATATCCATTTGTAGATTTGTAATACGAATACGTTTAGAACACAGGACTTTGTAAGCATATTAATATGTCACACAATGCAACATGGAAACGCTCCCAGTAACCTATTTTCGAGCCGGACGTGGTATACACAATGCAGAGTGGCAAGCATCACTTCAGAGGTACCGGGTAGTTAGTATTCTTTGGATATTTTCTCCAGGTTATGACGGTTTGTTGGGAAATTAGCAGGTAGATAGACTGGTGAGTTCTGCACCACTTGGTGGTGACGTTGTGAGGGCCCTCTGGGAGCGAGTGAACAGTGCGGAAGCCCAAATATATCATTGCGGTCTGAGGAGAATGACGCTCCAAGGAGCTACCAGGGGATCTGGCCGATGCTCAACACTCAAGGGAAAGGCGAGATGGATTTACTATCAAACAGTTACTTGTGTCATCATAATTGAAACTTTTCGTATGCTGCTGACGATAGGGACGGCGCGCTTATCGGGGTGTCCCCAGTGCTATGGTGTCGATTCCAATATTCAACATGAGCATGGTGTTCAAATATTTCCAAAATTATCGAAGTTTTGTGTGGCATCCTTGGCTCAGATTACATAGGGGAGCGATTCTTTTTATTCCTGAAAAGTAAGCGAAGTGACACAAGAAATAGATTATCCACTAATTTAATCAAGGCAGAACTCCAGGGAAAAGTGAACTATGAGGTGCTGTGATATCAGAAACAAACACTCAGAACTCCAGGAGACAGTGAACTATGAAAGTAAGACCTGTGATACCAGAAACAGACAGAACTCCAGGGGACAGTGAACTATAAATGCAAGTCCTGTGATACCAGAAACAGACAGAACTCCAGGAGACAGTGAACTATGAAAGTAAGTCCTGTGATACCAGAAACAGACAGAACTCCAGGAAACAGTGAACTATGAAAGTAAGTCCTGTGATACCAGAAACAGACAGACCTCCAGGAGACAGTGAACTATGAAAGCAAGTCCTGTGATACAAGAAACAGACATTCAGAACTCCAGGAGACAGTGAACTATGAAAGTAAGTCCTGTGATATCAGAAACAAACAGAACTCCAGGAGACGGTGAACTATGAAAGTAAGTCCTGTGAAACCAGAAACAGACAGAACTCCGGGAGACAGTGAACTATGAAAGTAAGTCCTGTGATATCAGAAACAGACAGAACTCCGGGAGACGGTGAACTATGAAACAAAGTCCTGTGATACCAGAAACAGACAGAACTCCGGGAGACAGTGAGCTATGAAAGCAAGTACTGTGATACCAGAAACATTCAGAACTCCAGGAGACAGTGAACTATGAAAGTAAGTCCTGTGATACCAGAAACCGACAGAACTCCAGGAGACAGTGAACTATGAAAGCAAGTCCTGTGATATCAGAAACAGACAGAACTCCGGGAGACATTGAACTATGAAAGTAAGTTCTGTGATACCAGAAACCGACACTCAGAACTCCAGGAGACAGTGAACTATGAAAGTAAGTCCTGTGATACCAGAAACAGACAGAACTACGGGAGACAGTGAACTATGAAAGTAAGTTCTGTGATACCAGAAACAGACAAAACTCCAGGAGACAGTGAACTATGAAAGTGAGTTTTGTGATACCAGAAACAGACACTCAGAACTCCGGGAGACAGTGAACTATGAAAGCAAGTCCTGTGATACCGGAAACAGAGACTCAGAACTCCGGGAGACAGTGAACTATGAAAGCAAGTCCTGTGATACCAGAAACAGAGACTCAGAACTCCGGGAGACAGTGAACTATGAAAGCAAGTCCTATGATATCAGAAACAGACAGAACTCCAGGGGACAGTGAACTATGAAAGCAAGTCCTGTTTAGAACTAACTGTAAAAAAAAATAAGGTGATGTTTAATTATCAAAAAGTGCTGCGCATTCACAATTTTACAATTGACACTGACTGATCTGCATTTGAAATATTAAAATATGTTTTATGTAATATGTGTGTGTTTGACATAAGTGTGCTATGTAATGGTCTGTGCATTCTATCGGTGTGAAATATGGCTATAACTATGTACTATTTGTTTTGGTCTATAAACTGTAGCACGCACGTGTAACACAGACACGTAACTGCGTGTTGTAGGTTGTGGGATTCGGGTGTAGGCCGACTGTGTATATTGTATAATCTATTAGTTGTGAAAAATGACGTTATAAACAAGGAATGAGTGGTTACTCCGTTTTTTGTTTTTTTTTTTCATTTGACTAAATCCAGCAACCTTAATATCGCGTGTGACCTGACAACATCGGGCTGGCGGAAGAAAACTTGCATTGGCAAGAAATAAAAACACCGCACAGATGACGCTGGACACTCATTACCTCCAACTTTAAATGAAGAAATAATGCTGGGTGGTGATGATGATGATGATAGTGGTGGTGGTGATGGTGGTGGTAGTGGTGGTGATGCTGATGATAGTGGTGGTGATGTTGATGATAGTGGTGGTGGTGATGGTGGTGGTAGTGGTGGTGATGTTGATGATAGTGGTGGTGGTGATGGTGATAGTGATGATTATGATAATGATGAAGATGATGGTGGTGGGGGTGATGAAGAGAATGATGCTTATGATGATGACTGGATCAGATACAAAAATAGCTTAATTACGCAGCTTGTATTGAAACTGTACCTGTGTAGTGGTCTTCTCTGGACTTGGGTGACTTGTGTTGGTCAGCAGCCAGGTGTAGTCCAGCTGTGGATGAGAACAGTTTTGATTCTAACCTGAAGTTGTCAATGTCAGACTAGGGCAATAAATAACGCGCACACACAAAACTAACCAAATGTGAAATTAGATGCTCGATTAAGTCTGCGAACAAAACCAAAACAGAGCATGGGATATATGAAGAGATTATGAGAAGTACTCTAACAATACCCATCGCAATAAGAGCGTACAACACGAAACAAGAAACACCAAGAGACAGAATGATACAAGCAACAAGAGCATACAACATGAAACAAGAAACACCAAGAGACAGAACGAATGTAGATGGAATAAGTCACCGACAGCCTAAGATCACACCATCACAACATACCCAGGAACTGAACGTACCCTGGTTCGCCTACCTATCTGTTATCATGCACACATGCACCGTCTTGCGGTACAATATAGATAATGATACAAGAATACAAAGAGGCATATCTCACTTGTACCGATAACAATCTGAGCAAACACCGGTAGTTCTAGTAGTCTACGGCGGAAACTGCACAATAAACAAATTAATAGAAACTCTATTTAAACACTCTGAGTGTTTTCCAAGATATCATTGTCGACATCAGAAAGAGACAGTCTACATTCTTTGGTCATGTCAGGAGAAAGGGAAAACTATAGTACATGGTGGCACTGGTAGCATTGGAGGGGAAAAGAAGCAGTGAGACCAAAAGAAAAGACGCTGGACAGAGATAGACGCACAATGTAAAAGACAGACATTGAATTTAACCACAGATAGACATTCGATTTAGCCAGGGATAGACATATGGTTTAACCAGGAATACACATCGGATTTAACCAGAGACAGACATACACTATAAACACAGATAGACATACGAGTGAACCAGAGACTGACATAATCTTTAACCAGACTGACAAATAATTTCAGCAGGCCATGATACCACAAAACACATACAGGATTAGGTCGATGTTAGGATTGTCTCCTCCAAAGATGTGTGTATGTCACTAAACCCAGCTGCTAATACCCGACCTAACGGGCTGGGGAAGGAGAATGGGTGACGTGCTAGCCTTTTATGGAAACAGTTCTTCGCTCCAAGGAACAAAACCATGGACTAAACAGTGTAAATAAATGCGCTGTCTGTTGCGTTGGCACAGCTAGACTATCTGTCAGATGGCATTCGCAGTTATTGTGACAGACATTGGAAAGTGAAGGTTGAAAAAACAAGCAGGTGTGTTAACAAATGTTGCGGTATGGAATGGAGACATCTACAGCAAGAACGTCGGTTATAAGCGGGGATAAACACAGCAAACAAACAAGCAAAAAAAGATCACATAAGTTACAACTAACTGGTACTAGTCTGAACTAACACATCTCACATAAGGTACAACTAACTAGCGCTAGTCTGAACTAACACATCTCACATAAGTTACAACTAACTAGCGCTAGTCTGAACTAACACATCTCACATAAGTTACAACTAACTAGCGCTAGTCTGAACTAACACATCTCACATAAGTTACAGCTAACTAGCGCTAGTCTGAACTAACACATCTCACATAAGTTACAACTAACTGGTACTAGTCTGAACTAACACATCTCACATAAGTAACAGCTAACTAGCGCTAGTCTGAACTAACACATCTCACATAAGGTACAACTAACTAGCGCTAGTCTGAACTAACACATCTCACATAAGTTACAACTAACTGGTACTAGTCTGAACTAACACATCTCACATAAGTTACAACTAACTGGTACTAGTCTGAACTAACACATCTCACATAAGTTACAACTAACTGGTACTAGTCTGAACTAACACATCTCACATAAGTTACAACTAACTGGTACTAGTCTGAACTAACACATCTCACATAAGTAACAGCTAACTAGCGCTAGTCTGAACTAACACATCTCACATAGGTAACAACTAACTGGTACTTGTCTGAACTAACACATCTCACATAAGTAACAACTAACTAGCGCTAGTCTGAACTAACACATCTCACATAAGGTACAACTAACTAGCGCTAGTCTGAACTAACACATCTCACATAAGTAACAACTAACTAGCGCTAGTCTGAACTAACACATCTCACATAAGTTACAACTAACTGGTGCTAGTCTAAACTAACAAGTCTCCTAAATATATAAAATTACGTCTATCACAACTGATGCACGGCTGAATAATGTCTTACTGGAACACGTTGATGAGCAAAGCAAACATGACCAAACCAGATCAACAGACCAGATCACTCACATTTTGATAGTTAACTCCTTCGGGTGTGTAGGCGTTGCAGACAAACACCACAGCTTGGTCTCGCAGTGGTCCCATCACTGTTATACTACATTCACATTCTTCGCTTCCATCAGCTCCGCAATATTTGGTCACAAAAAGGATAACAAAAACAGGTCCAAGCCAGCCAGGTGACAGTTTGAATAGCATATTTGTGTCGGCGTATCAGTAGCACAACAGTTTCTGCTCTAGTCGGCCGGCGTGCTGATAGAATTTCTGCAGAAACCAGTTTAGATTATACATCAACAGGTACGATAATAAACATAACAATTTAAAAAAGAAATCGTCCATGTTTCAGGGTTGACCAAGGACGTCTGTAGGTGTGTGTGTGTATTCCATTTACAATACTACTGTTGCTGTGTCATAGCCTACTTTGGGAGGTCGGATAAGGAGATTTCTTGTAGGAAAAAGTCACCGGGTATTTATAGCCTGTTTGAACCAGTCACCTCATAATGCGGCTAGTACTTTGTGTTGTAGTTTACAGCTAGGCTTCAGAATCTGCGCCTTCCGGCTCAGCATAACATTTTAGCGGATCCGTAATGTATCGACTTTTACGACATTTTGGTAAAGGTCCAGCAGAATGCTGGAGAATGACCAAAAAAAGTGTACACAAAAGTGTCCATCTTCCAAAACACATGTCTACGTAGAATTATAAAAATGTTCTGGCCAGAGAAAATCTCAAACACTTAACTTGAAGAAGTTAAGTGTTTGAGATTTTCTCTGGCCAGAACATTTTTATAATTCTACGTAGACATGTGTTTTGGAAGAAAACCAAGAAACTCTAGACAGTATGATAACCAAGAGAAGATGGAAATGGCTTGGTCACGTTATGAGAATTATTCCTGATTACCTGCCACAACAGCTCTCACATGGACACCAGAGGGAAAGAGAAAACAGGGGCGCCCAAATACAACATGGAGACGAACGATGGAAAGTGACCTGAGTGTGGCATCTTTGACACGGAAAACTGCATTGAAGATTGCACAGGACGGAAAAGCATAGAAAGTCCTCTCTGAAGCCTCATGTGCGACTAGGCACAACGAGAACTGATGATGATGATGGTAAAGGTCCAGTGAGTTAAAACTGTTCCCCTTGAAACAAATCGAGCCTCTGAGCCCACACGGGGAGGGGCTGGGTTCATACATTATTGGATTTGACTTGCGTTCAACAATAAGTAGACATTGAGGTGTGTGGCCTATACATCAGGGCTGTTGAACTAGAAGCCGCAGGCTAAATCTGGCAAGCAGAGGCCAAAAAAGGGGCATGCGGATCATCTGCCAATTGTATTAAATTACTGATATTCCTACGCTAGCTTTCCAGATGAGCGGCATTGTTTCAACATTTTGGCCCGTGAGGGAACTGACTTGAATGCCCTGCACTTAACAACATAACTAAATAGCCCGATGAAGGAAAGTATGGGAAGTAGTAGCGCTTGGTTTGGTCCGATGAAGGAAAGTATGTGAAGTAGTAGCGCTTGGTTTGATCCGATGAAGGAAAGTATGTGAAGTAGTAGCGCTTGGTTTGATCCGATGAAAGAAAGTATGTGAAGTAGTAGCGCTTGGTTTGGTCCGATGAAGGAAAGTATTTGAAGTAGTAGCGCTTGGTTTGGTCCGATGAAGGAAAGTATGTGAGGTAGAAGCGCTTGGTTTGATCCGAAAACAATATGAATGGCTCCAGCCGTTTCACCAGACACCAAAGTGCAACCAACAGTCGAGATAAGCCAATAATCTACATCTCAGTACTTAGGACATTCTATAACCACGCTGGCACCATCTTGAGCAGTCAAAGTAGACCATGCAAACAAAGAGAAAAAAAAAAGGGGGGGGGGGAATAACTGTCTCTCGGAATGGTTACTTACGAAGCGCATAATCGTTCAGTAATATCGTATACAACTGTCAGGTATTACTGACCGTTGTCGGCAAGAGGGGGAGGGAAAGTGTGTATGTCCGTGTGTGTGTGTGTGTGTGTGTGTGTGTCAGTGAGAGAGATTCTGTGTATATGTCTGTGTGTGTGTCAGTTAGAGAGATTCTGTGTATATGTCTGTGTGTGTGGGAAGAGACTGACAGGCAGAATATAAAGAGATCTATAAGTAAAAAAGGTGTAATTAATGTAATTTTCTTTCTATAAGCAAATGTACAGTTTATATGAACATCTAGACATATCCTTGTCATAATTTACTTTACCGTACTAAACATGTACGTGCCCCCGTCTGTCCAGTTAATATTTAAATCATATCAAATGTATGAACATTTAGTAGAATCCGATTACAGTTAACTTTTTGCTTGTCAGTAATCAGAATTCTTGTGAATGTCATTCAAGACTGACTTCTGATTATCAAATATTTAAAAGTCGATGTGCGTTTAAATCGCATTTAAATTTTGTTCACCAAATAATAACACAGTTACCTGGAGTTCACACTAGAATAAACACCCTGGCAGACAGTTTCCTGGAGTTCACACTGGAATAAACACCCTGGCACAGTTTCCTGGAGCTCACACTGGAATAAACACCCTGGCAGACAGTTACCTGGAGTTCACACTGGAATAAACACCCTGGCAAACAGTTACCTGGAGTTCACACTAGAATAAACACCCTGGCAGACAGTTTCCTGGAGTTCACACTGGAATAAACACCCTGGCAGACAGTTTCCTGGAGTTCACACTGGAATAAACACCCTGGCACAGTTTCCTGGAGTTCACACTGGAATAAACACCCTGGCACAGTTTCCTGGAGTTCACACTGTAATAAACACCCTGGCAGACAGTTTCCTGGAGTTCACACTGGAATAAACACCCTGGCAAACAGTTTCCTGGAGTTCACACTGGAATAAACACCCTGCCACTGTAAAAGAGTACTTTAGAATATACTTCGCCAGAAAATCCAAACATGTGCACAACAGAACTTGTTGAGTTATAGTGCCTGAACAAAGTACCTCGAAGTTGCATTTTATTCGGCGACATTGCATGTTTATCTAAGTTTGTTTCCTTTTGTTAAATGTAATTCAATTTTCCTATTATCTCAATGTGCGCTGGTAATTTTACGCGGACACGGGCGTTCATTGTGAGTATCGCACTAAAATGTGTGCCCACTACTCAACACTTAAAACACTCTATTTGTATTCGATATAACCCAAAACCCTCTTGGGTAATTCGCGTTAATGTTCTATAATCGATTCTGGCTACTGTGGCCGAATGTTTGTATTCTGTGAGATCAACGTCAGACTAAGGTTTCACTTAACGGTTCGCAGATTCCGAGGTCTCTACCAATATGTCACAGTGTGTTAGAAAACACATACCCAAACGTGTATACGTTGTTGTTGTTTTTTTTTTTTTTTTAGTTATCGTTGGGAGAGGCAAGACCCAACAATGTATGTTGTATACGTGTTCTTGTTTGCAACACCTATTGTTGACTATTCGATTCTCTCCTTCTGCTATCGTTATATTTCATGAAACACATCTCACTAGTAGATAATCTCGGTTTTACAGATGGTATCTCTTTCGCCGGCCGACCTCAATTTCCAACACGGTTTCACTTAATTTTTTTCTTTCTATTAGTTTCTTTGAAATCTTGACATTTTACAATATAAGCTGGGTGTTGGGAAATGAGCCAACAGACAGAGTGGCTGATTCTGCACCGGTGGGTGGGGAATAGATGTGGTCAAGGTTCTTTGGAAGCAAGTGAATGTTGCGGAGTCATTATGGTATGAGGAGAATCGTTCAGCTGAGAGGGACCAGTGGAACTTTACACTCAGAGCATAGACAAGAAGGGCATATCTTCAAAATGCTACAGGCAACATCAGAACTGGAACTCTTCGCCGACTGCTGAAGATAAGGACAGGGCGCTTGTGGTAATGTTCCAAGTATTGTAGTATCAGTTCCTAGCTCAGTACATCAGTAAATGCGTCCACCTTTTCCATGCCTCTGCTAGCTTCCCCACCCACACCACCCCCCCCCCTCCCCTCCACAGTTATGGAAGGGAAAAGCGAGCAATAATATCACCGCTGTCTGTAATTTCACAAAAAGCCAACAAGTGCTGGAGTTTGCAATGTCCTCTTAAGGATATGCAACTAACTTTTGATGTTTTTTTTTTAAGCTGCGCAATAGTTTTCTACCCTGCTATTTCATTTCACCGTTGTGAACATCTTGCTGACATACATAATAATGCCCTCAAACCTGTCTCCCTCCATTTCAGCAGTTCTGACCACCAATGCGAAAACGATATCTCAGTCACTGCTATTACATCATGCTCTGGTGATCAGACCAGCCGCTGCTCATTAGAAAATCCTTTCATCCGTAGTTTAATCGTTCTTATTCCTGGAGGGATCAATATTCAACAAAGCTTTATTTGGTTTAACTTATTTACTTGTTCGTTTATTTGACTTATCATGTTTCTTCCCCTCTTTTTACTTATTTCTAATCGTATTATGATCATCATCAAGTGCCTTGCCAGATGGTGTAGGCGGTAATAATCTCCACAGATCTCGGTCTTTGGTGTTCTGGATCAATTCCACTGATGATATTCCTCCATGCCACTGTCTTAAACCATCCACCATCATTTCTCTTGGTCTGCCTCTGCCTCTTCTACCAGTCATCTTTCCAGTCATCACAATATTTTCCAGTGCTCCTTTCCTCATCACATGACCAAAGAACTTGGTCTCCATCTCATTGTTGTATATAATGTTCTACTTTCATTAGCCATTTCCAGGCAATCATTGTTAGTTATTCTGGCAGTCCAAGGTATTCACAACATTCTTCTCAAGAACCACATCTCAGTTGCCTCCAAACTCTTCCTAATTTTCGCATTACAGATCGTCATACCCCCAGCCCCCCCCCCCCCCCCAATCCATTTCGTACTTCTTGATTTCATATTGAGGCTTGGTTTTTTTCATTGGTTTTGTTTTCTTGCCCGCTGAGTTTTCTAGTCACAGTTTGTGTTAGATTTAGCATTTCTTACAATCAGCTCGACTGCAGTCACCCGCTGTCAACGTCATCATTTGAGTCCTATTCTGCACAACACAAATCGGTGACCATTTCTGTTTGGGTTGTAATTATTGCAGGATTTCATGGCCGTGGTTATCATTCTGATGTTGACAGTGTTGCGCAAAGAAATAAAGTTTCCCAGATACTCTCGGCTGATAACTCTTATCTGCC